AACGATTTTTTTTGTTGTAGTAATTATTTTTTGTGGTTGAAACTGTGGTTCTTCTACTTGCGGTGCCGCGCCTGTCTTCAGGCGATGGCGATCTCCATGAGTATTTAGTTGAAGAGTTCTCTATCTTTTGCTGAACCCCCAAACCGGCCCAGTTCCGTATATCTCAGTCATGACAGTTTCTTTCGACCTACTTATCTTCTACCTTCGACTTTTCCTTAAATAATCAAACGAGGAATATAATATTTGGTGCCACGCGTCATGTGTCCGAAGTAGCTAACCTTTCTGGCCTTGATGGTGGTTAAGAGTTCCCAATCTTTATTTAGCTCTACAAGAACTTCTTCGTTGCTTGTATGTTCGGTCCAAGAAATCTTAAGGATTCTCCTAAGGTAGCACCACATTTCAAAGGCTTTTTTTTATTTATATTCTCGACTTTTAGCGTCCATGTCACGCATCCGTAAAGAAGAGTAATATGTAACAACGTAGTGTTCGTAATCGGGTTTGCAGTGACAGGTTTCTATCAGTGAGCATGGTATTCCATTTTTTGAATGTTCTACGTGCCATTTCAATTCTTGCCTTTAACTCTTCGTCACATGTATTTTCACTATATAGCCAGCTTCCTAAATATCTAAAATATGGTACTTGTTTTTGTGCCCGCTGATTTTTATCGGGATTGGATTAATTTTGTATTTTACCCACAAAGATCCATTTCGTCTTCTTGATATTTATATTGATACCCCATTTGCTACTAGCTTCACGTACCCCGTCTAGCAGCGTTTGCAAGTCTTCCATGCTTTCTGCGACAATGGCGGTGTCGTCTGCGTACCTTACGTTATTTGTGATCTCGCTTCCAATTTTATCGCCTTCTATTCTGCCAGATAAAGCCTCGTTAAAAATGTTCTCTGAATACAAGTTGAATAATAACGGCGACAAAACACACCCCTGTTTTACTCCTCGTTTTATTGCGATGTCATTTGTAGTTCCGTCATGGACCTTAACAGCAGCAGTTTGATTGTAGTATAAGAGTACTAAAAGGCGTATGTCATAGTTGTCCACGTTATACGATTTCAGATTCAGATGTTGGACTCGATCAAATTTTATAGCAATAGCCTGATATACTGTCGGTGTCGAGAAGTTTTATTAGTTCAGCCGGTATTTCGTCTGGTCCGGGAGTCTTGTTTGTTTTTGCCTGTTGTATGGCTTTTTCCACTTCCCATTTGAGTATACTTGGACCAAATTCTGCTTCATAATCTGCCAATAGTATCTCTGGAGCTTCCCGAGTATTGTCATCAAATAAATGTTGTATGTTGCCACTCAACACATCGGTCTTCATTAGTTGTCCACTAGCGTTGTGCTAGGTTGACTTAAAAAAGTATACCATTAATATTGATCAAATTATACTTTATTCTCTCGTAATATATGCCTATTTAATTTTTTGATTATGTAATGGGCACTTTGTCTATTCACTTGTTTCATTGAATTGCCGGAATCCATTTTTGCCTTGATATTATCGGTGTGAGAAAGCTGGGAAAGGGAAATTAAAACAACTTTCGTTGGACGTCATCAATGACACC